TGTTGTGGACCAGAACTCGTGCGGTGGTGGACCGATAGTAGGCCTTAATCATTGCAATGAGTTTGGTCGGCACTCCATCTAGTTCCATTATTCGCCACGGGGACTCACGATGGATGGAATCGAATACGGCGGCGAAGTAGACAAAGCAGACGGCCGTTGGTTGCTGATAGCTATGGCAGAATTCTAGAATGCGCCTCAGTGTAAATATCTGGTCCGCACATCCAAGCCCAGCGCGGAATCCGGCTTGGTTGGGCCGCGTCCTGGAGTCACGCACAGATTGGAAGCGCTTAAGAACAATAGCGAAGATGTTTGCAGCAACATCTATAAGATTTATGGTGCGGTAGATCCCACATATTGTCTTATCTCCCTTCTTGTAGACATGGACCAGGATGCCTGAGCCCCAGCCATCGGGAACGGCCTATTCTCGCCGCACCTGTACAATCACCTCATGAAGCTGAGGAGCCAGAGTGTCGACACAGGACTTGTAGATTTCTGTTAAATTCTATCCTCTCCGCACGCCTTGTATTCGCGCAGCCTCTGCATCGCATTGTCGGGAAGTCAGACTTCGGACAGGCGGCAAACATTTACGTGATATTCATGCAGACTGCGCGCCGTCAGACTTTGAGTACCAGTTTCCAGAAGTATTCGCACATTCCAGCATCCAATACCAAGAGTCCGTTTCAGGTTTAGTAGTCCAGCTTACATATTATTCGCCCGCACCACTGGATAGGGGCTGCGGAGCGCGTCAGTTCCCGCGGACGCCATAGCTGGGTCGTAATACTATGAGCTGACATTTTTGCATGAGGAATCTTGAGTACGTTGAATACAGGCGGGTCCCCAACAGCCGCTCCGGTTCTTTGTTCAAGATTGTCTCCTCTAGGACTTTGGCTCAATAACCTAACCACAAGACAGTGGTGGCAAGCAAACCTATTTAATGGCGGTTCGCGTTCACCATGTGACAGTGTCGTCATTGGAACTTACGGCATTTTATAAGGCACTCGGTGCGCCAAACCTCAGCCCTCCACGCCCTGGTAACACTGTCGCTACTGTGTCCGCGACTGCGTATTCGTCAGACCCGGGAGCCTGCATATTTCGCAGCTCACCTTCGTTGAAGGTCGTGCCACTATCTGCCACTTGTGGACGCGCCAGGTAGCCAGCAGCTAGGCTAACGGACATTTACACGCATACTGATGAAGATTGCGCACTTTTAGACTTTGGATACCACGGTCTACGAAAGTCCGTACATCCCAACATCTAATGCCAATAGCATGCTCATTGGGTGTTCCGGCTTGCTGCCCGCACCACTGAAACAGAGTTGTACGGTGTGTCAGTCCCCGCCGATGTCGCAGCAGCAATTAATTAGGGCATTCTAATAGGTTCCTGTGGATTTTAAGTAAAGGCGGGTTTTTGAAAGGCACCTGGATCACATTTTGGAGTATGTCTCGTCTAGCGCTTTTGTTCAAGAACCTGACCATAAGCCATCGGTGGTTACCAGGTTTCTTTAATGACAGTTCAGCGTCATCTTGTCACAGCATCATCATCGGACAGTGCGGCAATTCATTAGGCGGTCGACGTGCCCGAGCTCAGGTCCCCGCGCCTGATGACATTGTCGATGCTGGTTTGCGACCACGTATTCGCTTGATTTGAAAGCGCCCTTAGTTCGCAACTAATCCCTGTTAAAGGTCTTTCTACTATTGGACACTTGCAAACGCATTGGGAAGCCAACGGGTAAGCTAAAGCGCAATCCACCTTTCATGGATCGTAAAAAATGGGTATCAGGAGGCAGGCAAAAGAGCTATTTAACAAAAATAATAATTTATGCTCCGGAACTAAGAGTAACGTCAGCGACTCATTAGACATATTCTCAAATAAATAGGTAATGGTTATGTGCTTACATCTTGGCGAAATTGGACAAAAATGACATCAGTAAAAACCCTGAAAGAATAGTGATATATAGTTTGTGTGCTACAATAGAAACAGAGTAACTAAGCCATGAATGAAAACAGCACACACTAAGGCACGTACTTGTAATAATGCTTCGCAAATTGTGTTCTTTAGAATGGAATCGGATTCACGTAGGGCCTTTTCGGTGCCGTAGACAGATTGTAGGACAGGGGAAAGGCTCTGAATGTCCTTCAAATCTAGTTTATCTTCCGGACCACAAAGACGTAAGAGCAGCTTGCTAAAAAGGTCATCGGCGTCGGAGCATAGGTCAGCATGGAATTCTGAACACGAGAGTTTAACTGGTTTGTCAAGTTACTGTCTTCGAAGCAACAGTTCTTAATGGCACCGAGCACCGAAGTCCGCGTGCTGAGGTCACCCATACAGCCCTGATTGTCTAGAAGAGCTGTAAGGCCCTTAGCGTTTGTGCATATATGACGGCGCATGTTAGAGCTTACTGTTAGATTAAGTAGTAACTAAATGTAAGGGAATTGTCATTTGGGTATACCTGGAGATCTGTAGACGAAGGTGACGGGTTTTCAACTGTCTTGGCAAAAATGACTTCGCTGTGAGTCGATTTGCAAAGCTCTTCCAACCACTCTTTTGTTTGAGTCAAATTTATGAGCAAGGACGTGCATAGAAATTTAATCTCTGCATCTGTGTCTGAATATATTGTCCCGACTATAGTCGACAATAACTGTTGTCTTCTCAGAGGATTACAGGTAACGAATATTTTCTCCGCCCTCGATCCATCAGACGAAAAGTTTATAAGGCACTTCAG